AACATCATTGTAAAACCATAAAACCAATACATTTATTGTTCCTTTTAGAATCTGAAACCATAATATACCTAATAATTTATATTATATTTTCTTATTTAAATGATTAAATAATTGCTTCTAAATTTATCTTATTTATTTGCCAGCTGTATGTAAAAACGAAAAAACCAAAAAAAACTAATGTACAAAATTCAAGGAAGGGGGGACAGAATTTATTTGCACGGGGTAGCTAAATCTTAAATGCGGCCCTGACTATATCTGTTTTCCAATATTGTATTATATTTTATTAACTTTTACATTCAATCTACTCTGGAAAAAAATGATGATAATATAGTATGATACATTATATTGTTTAGATTTTGTTTTTAAATTTAATAATTTTAATTTTGATGAGTCAAACGATATCGAATAATTATATTATCTTATATGGCTAACAAGAAATAATTATGTTTAACTATTATAAATATATTCGTAAACAATGAGCAATTTTCAAATAATATTCTTTTGATGTTAACAATAAAAACATAAGAATAAAACAATATTCAAACAATAAATAAATGATTGATGAGCGCTTTTTAATGAAACCGTTAGTCCGATAGTAAAATAATAACGGGTGGCTAATATAATTATTACAAATATACATTTAAATTAATTTGACATTAAAGAAGTCGTTGTTTGATTTTTTTTTTTATGGTTTTTTATAATAAATGGGAAAAACTGAAAAATTTACGAAATATAATATTTTCAAATCGTAAATATTATAGTCTTTCAAATCATGCAGGCGCATCCCCGAGGGAAGTGTCCTCACATTAGTATTTGGCATAGTCAATGGTCCATTAGTAGATATAATGGATCTATGATATAATATCATATCATAGTTAGAGCTTTTTATATTTAGTTTTCATTTAATTTAGACTAAATAAACCTTGCCTATTTAGTTTTGCATATTATTAAATTATATACATATTTAAATTTATAATAAAACAAGTAATTAAGATTGTTTTTATTTACAATCTTATTTTATAAATAATGATAAATATAGATGTGTAGATAACCGTGCTATAAACGAATTTCACCACTATTTTCTTGAATATTTTTTAATATATTTCCAAAAATTCAAAATGATAAGAGATCTCAAGTGATTAATTATAATGCATTTTTCTACTTCAGGAGTATTACTTCTTGAATAGAAAGTAACAAGACAGAACTCGTTAATTTTGTCAATTTTACCCATGAACTGGAATGTTTGAATTCTGATATCGATATGTAATAAAATAAATTGGAATAAATTAACAAAATTAGTTATTACAGGTAGGTATGTATTAAATTACCTAATTTAGTTTTATATTGTCAATATAAATTATATAGGTAAATAATAATTTGTTCCTCCTATAGCTAGGTATAAATAGCAGATATATTAATTTATATATCTATATATTATATACAATATTATAGTAAAATAAAATAAATATTATTATTATAAATAAAAAAATATTACTAGTAGATATTATTATGTTTATAATTGACTTGAGTTGAAAAGGAACATTCAAGAAAAATGAATAATATTATTTTCATAGCAAAATTTGAATTACATCTTACTAAAAATACCAATATAAGTTGTATAATAAAAATAAAATTTACCATCATTAACTGATGAATTTTGATTATTTCTCACATTAAATATTGTCATATCAGAATTCAATTATTAATAGAAATATATATATATAAATGTGTAATAAATAGGTACCTGCTTATTTTTTCTGATCTAAATAACCAATATCTAAGAATTTCATGTTTTTCACATACATGGGTATTATTCATAATATTCGTTAAAAAACCCCTAATTTTATTATAGCCTTTGAACATTTTTAGCTTTGAGTCATTATTATAATTGATAGATCGTAAAGGCGCAATATTATGTTGCTACGCCCTTGCTAGTACTTACATTTTTTAATAATATTTCAAATATTATATCATTCAAAAGTCTAAACTGTTAAGTTATTAATTTTAATTAAATTAATTAATAAATAGGCATTATATATGCCTAATTAGTATAATGTGTATATATTTCTAATTTAAATTAAATGGGTAGACCAATAGGTGAATAATCTATCTCTCATTTGGAACTTTTTTGGGTAAAAGTACCAGCAAGTTTAAAACATGTCATACGTAAACGTGAATGTGAAATGAAGGTAGAAAACAATCAATTTAGGTAGTCAATACAACGAGCCACTTATAAATGTAAATGTTGATATCATTGCTTGTTTGTTAATGATCCTTTCAATATTAATGTTAAATTTTACCAGTTCTGGGAGTTATGTTTAGAATAGTAGTGTTCTTTACTAGTCTATATATTTGGATATATCATTTAGAAAAATAGTAAGATTGTAAGAAGATCATAGTAAGATCTAGTATTTCTAAATTATTTAATCTATAACTATTTAGTAGCTGCTCCTTAATAGCATCTTGTATAGGCAACTTATTTTACTCGTCTCAATATTCACTCTTATCACTTGCAAGGGTTTCTGGTTGGCTTCACGTTGAAGTTAATACAGTTATAGCAAGATCAATATAATATGACTTTTCCCTAATTTATATTAAATCGTTGAAATATACCTAACATTTATCTAATATATTATATTTTTTTAATTATACAATTTTCTTATCCATACATAAAGACAAATATGTTGGGTTGTAAGTACTTATATTGTATTCATAAAATCTACTAATGAGTATTCAAGTACAAAAAAGAGCTACCATATAATAAAACGGTCAATATATTGAATATACCAGACATATTATTATTATTATTGTTACTTGGCAATAAAATATGATTTATTGGCAATCAATATTGGCGTAGACGCGATTTCGATAATCTTTATGTCTAGCTTTCAGTTAGCATATCATATTTAATATTATATATACTTATATTCAGTAGCCAGAATTACGTAATGGGGGAGGGGAGTTTAAAGTATGAATTATGCTATTAGCTTTTTACAGTTTTAGAGTCTGTGTGGAACGAAGAATGTATTGGTTTTACTATGACGTTTATTTATTTTTTTTTTTCTGTGGACACCTTTTATACCAGAAATTTTGCTCAGATTTACAATAAAATTTTTTTTAAAAAGGAAATCTGACGGGTAAAGTACTTAAGGGAGGTCATTTTTTTGATTTTCCCACTAAGTTGGAAAACCCGAGAAAAAACATCGGAAGAGGAATGACATATAATAAATTGTTGACAAAGCAACATTATCTTATTATTATATTACATTATACTATTATTTCCCAAAAAACATTCACATTTATGAATATGAACACACGAATGTATCAAATATCGTAATGAATATTGTAATCAGTCGTTAGAATAGTCATAAACCACAATCCACGGTTTGTTAAAAAAATCGTGATAAATAATTTTAATAATTACAATTGAATGTAATATAATAATCTATTTGGTCTTTAGACGAGTTTTAGAAGCGTTTTGTTCAACCAATTTACTAATGATAACGTGTTCATGATAAAGATAAATAATAATTAACTTTATCCCGTTATACGGTATAAACGATTCAAGTATACCTTAAACTGTGGTTATTATGCATTTTCCAATTGTACAACCATTAACCGTGAATATTAGAGATATCTCTAATCTCCGTAAGTATGAAAAAAAATTTCACAACTTTTACAGGAGGATTAACGAAGTATACAATAATATGAATACATTCATTCGGTTAAAACGTGTAAAAATAAGCAATTGGGGGGGTAGGGAAGTTTAAACACCCCCACCCCGCTCTTGGATGCGCCGCTGCTAATATTAATAAACCGTCGTTCGACAATAACGCGATAATATATTATGTAGGTAACTGTGTATCGTTTTCTAACGAAATCACAGATCCGACAGTCTGTCCGTAAACGACAAATACGGGAATGTTTATCGTCATTGTTACAGGAGCGTTAGAGACGGAGACATGCAGCAGTGTTAACGTAACTGTACAAAAAAAAAAAATGATTGCTGTAAGCGCGTGCGGTCCCCGTCCGTGACGACGCCTAGACGTATTACAATTGACAATTTTACACGAGACAATATTTAGTTATTTTGTCATGATAATTTATACATATACTAGCTGTCCCGGCAAACGTTGTTTTGCCATATAAATTATTTCTAGGGAATCTATAGTCTAGAAAAAAAATAACTAACTTATTGTAAGTGTTTAAGGATGTGGTAAATTAGTGAAAGAGGCATGGAGCGCTGTGAACGATGAGGGAATATAAAAATAACAAAAGGCAAACATTATTTTTAAGTTATTATAATTTATTCCTTAAAAATATCAATCTCTTAATGCTATAGCGTGAACAATATTTTTTGTTAGTCCATCTTTAGTTATAAACTGGATGGTTTACCCACTCGAGAGCATGCCACGTATAATTGTCCGTGTGAAGAACATGGTGTTCTCAAATCTAAGCCACAAATAAACACACGTACATAGGTTAGGTTAGGTTAGCAAAATTAGCCAAATTGGCCCAGCCGTTGTCAATTGTTATTGGCACGCGGGTGCCACGGAAACCAATAATACAAAATAACCACATAGAGTGTATATTATCTCTCCATGGCAAAATAATAATTGTTGAATATCGTGCGTGCTAGTATACTTTGATTTAAGAGGCCATAACTCCGGAACCACTTATCGCAGAGCATACAAACGTAGACGGTAGCCGATTCTCAGACCTACTGAATATGCATATAAAATTTCATGAGAATCGATCAAGCCGTCTCGGAGGAGTATGGGAACGAATATTGTGACACGATAATTTTATATATAAGAAGATATATTATCTACGGTAGTGGTGCGTACTCGCGTTATCTACCGCCGTCCAAATCGTTATCGCCCGGAACAGCCAGGGACGTTGTACAGAAACGGAGCGGCGCGTTTATCAACTCCCTGTAAATATCCCAGAAGCCTTGTTGCACCAAGTGTCGTGATAACGACGCAATGAATGCATTGGATCGTGCGTTTTTGTATCGAGGAGCACAATAATCATTATACAACACTGCGGTATACACCCCCGCGTCAACGTTTCCTGTGTCACACGCGACGTTCTGCCCGCACCAGTGTTTCGTTATTTTTGCATGTTGTCCGTACAGAAATCTATTGTCTCTCCCCGTTTCGTTCACGTACGAACTGTTATTGTCAGTAGGTCGTCGATCGCGTCGCGCGTCCGTCAGGTTTTTCTGTCGTGTCTTCTCGATTGCGTCGGCCCAACACGACGCGTGTTAATATTGTTCACGTTTACCGCCAACAGCCAACAGTCCGTGCCGCGATTTCCGCTCAATCCGCAGCCTGATAATTGTGCAGCCGGCCGCTGTCCGCCCGCGGTGCACGATTATGAACGGTGTCGATTGCGGTTCGCGTAGTAAAGTAGCCGAACATTGGCAGCTGTGAATCGACGCGAACCACTCCGATGTTGCCGAAAATGATGCGGCTGTGGTTGTTGATCGTCGTCATCGGCGCCTCCGCGGTCGTTTGTCGGGTCTCGTCTGCCCATTCGTCCGGCCACTCGTCCAGGCAACAACAACAAATGCAAGATGTACAGATCGGCGACGACGGAACCATACACCACGGCCGCTGCGAGCCGATCACCATACCGTTTTGCATGGGCATTGCGTACAACGAGACCATCATGCCCAATCTACTGGGCCAGCAGCGCCAAGACGAGGCGGGCTTCGAAGTGCAACAGTACTATCCGTTGGTGAAGATCCAGTGTTCGCACGATTTGCAATTCTTTTTGTGCAGCGTATTCGCTCCGGTGTGCACCATAATCGAGAGACCCATACCGCCGTGCCGGTCCCTGTGCTTGTCCGCCCGCAACGGGTGCGAGTCCATTATGAACCGTTTCCAAATCGAATGGCCCGACAATCTGGAGTGTTCAAAGTTCCCGGAAAACGGGCAACTGTGTGTCGGCGAGAACAATGTCACCACCACTTCGCAGCCACCGCAAACGGGTTTGATCGAACAGTCCCAAAATGGAAAAGATTTGACCGTCTCGGGGTCCAGACATTTTCCCGTCGACCAAGTGTATATGAACAACCCGGGCCACGATATCGGATTCGTCTGCCCGCAACAATTTCAAATAGAGTCCAGCAACAGCAACAAAAAACGGTCCGACCGGAACACTCAAGGCTATGCGCTGAAAGTCGGCAACAGATTGGTGAAAAATTGCGGGGTACCGTGCGACGCTTTCTGGAGTGAAGATCAAATGCGCAAAGCTCGGTCTTGGGTCGCCCTTTGGTCTATATTGTGTGCCATATCTTGTCTGTTCACGTCCCTTACATTTGCCATCGACACGCACCGTTTTCGCTATCCCGAACGACCGATAATATTCTTGTCACTGTGCTATTTAATGGTTTCCATATCATACCTGATTGGATACTTGTCAGGCAACAATATTGCTTGCAACAGACAAAATTTAATCACTCAAGGTACAGACGACAACGAATGGTGCACCGTGCTGTTTATGGTGTCTTATTTCTTTAGTACAGCATCGTCCGTATGGTGGGTCGTGTTGACATTAACTTGGTTCCTGGCTGCCGGACTGAAATGGGGCCATGAAGCTATTGAAGCAAATTCACATTATTTCCATTTGGCCGCCTGGACTGTACCTGCAGCGAAAACTATTACAGTATTGGCCATGGGCAAAATTGAGGGTGAGTTAATGAGTTTTAAAAAAAAAACATAGGTACTTAAATATTAATAAAACCAGTATACCTTTTAAAAATATGCTTTCAGTTTTGAATAAAAGTTCAAATTCATTTAAATTTCTGCTGTTCAATTACTAATCTACTTTATGAAGTTTTATATATGTAGGTATCTAGTATGGAAAATAATTTGATTCAACATACAACTGAGCATAAAACAATAAATAAATCTTATTAGGCACATAGGTATAGGTACAGTAAAACTTCCATATAACAAAGTCTCACGGGGAACAAAAAAAAAAAAAAAAATTTATAATATAGAGTTATTAGTTAAATTATTAAGTTACATATTTTTAATATAATTATATATTATTATTTTGCGCTTGCTTCATTATGTTTACATGATTTTTCAATATGGTTGAAAGAATACTTGTTGGAATACCATATTTTTCAGCAATATCTTTTTTTTAACACCTCATTGACTTCATTTAAAATTTAAAATTTATCGAATAATGACATTTTGAAAAATTACAAAACAATTTAAGTGTACGAATACGTTTATGTCAATATTGGAACTGCAGCACGCAGCACTGCAGTAAAATTAACCGAGTGTCTACCAATGTCTTATCTTTATCGGAAATAAAAAAATTGTAGGTATTTTAATAAAATATTTAATACATATTTAATAGTGACAACATTTACATTTAATTTTGCTTTTACTTTATTATTTTATTAAAAAGAGGTTTGTTATTGAATAGTTTATTCGTTATACAGAGATAAATTTACACATAATTAAAAATGTAGGTCATGGTTCTCAATAATAATTCATTAAACAAAATATTTCATTAAATGGAAGTTTCACTGTAACACACTTAATATTCATTAAAATAAGTCAAATTGTATTCATTATAAATCCAGGTACCTATGTTTCTCGGTAGGTACTTACATATATACCAAATATGTATACAATTCTGACAATTATTGTAGGTATGGGTAAGTAGTTACTTAGATTTAAAATTTACTTCATAAAATTAGATCTTTAGAAACAATTCCTGGGGAAATATCTTTTTAAATACAATCAAATTCAGTAAGTAGGTTATACATTTGATTTATAGTTTACATGCCTACTACCTAAGCGGCCATTCAAAACATATTTAAGTTATGACTCGAGGTCAATATTCTGTCAGGTATTCTGTAAAAAAAATATGGTCCTTTTAATTATTTTAAACCGAATTACAATGCAAAAATAATGAAACTGTTATTTTTGTAATCTTTCCTTGTATTTTCTAATTATTAAGAAAACTACTAGAAACATAAAAAAACACCTCTTAATTAATGCATCAACTAGACCAGTGATCTTCAACCTTTTTGGACTCGCGACTCACTTTTTTAGGCGTACATTATTCGCGACCCACATAAGGCATACATAAAGAAAAACGTTTGTAGAAAAATGAAAAAACATTGTTATAACTGAATAAATAAAAATAAAAAAAACTTTTTAACGGATACATAAATATGACTAGAATAATACGCGACTAACATTTATTCCTCTTTAAACACAGCGATAACATCAACAATGTTCGTAGATTATGGGACTCTTTAACGATAATATTATAATATATTTATTTTATTACTAGCCCGGTTTACTCGTAAATTATTATATTTAATGTCATACTACGTAGAATCATACCTATATATGAAACATATACTGTGATTTGAAACCCATTATACTAATATAATTTTGAATATAAATTATATAATATTATTTATACATAATATATTACAATAATTTTCAAACTGTATTTTCATTTATTAATTTTCTAAGGTTAATAATTAAACAACTATCTGTATACCTTATATAATTGTATAAACTTAATTTTTACTTTAAAAAGAAAACTTATCGCATCCCAATTTTTAAGCTTACGCGACTCAAAAATGGGTCGCGACCCACCGGTTGAAGACCACTGAACTAGACAATATTTTTCCTTAAAAGATGCTTCCCTTGGAATTCAAATTAAGATTTTTCATGCGAAAAAAAATTGAATATAATGAAACTTTTATTATCATAATTTGTGTGTATTTAATATTACGATAAATTACCTCAAGCTTTTTCCCAAATTTTTTCCAGTATGTTTTTTTTGGGTTTCCCAAATTATTATGAAAATAACTAGAAAAATCAAAAAATAATTTCCCTAATGCAGCATTTATATCTAAAATTCTACAATAAAGATCTCATAATTTTTTTATTTAAGCAAGATTTGTGGTAGAAAAGTTGTTTACAGACATAAATATTTTTAAAACGTGCATAGTAAAATCTACAAATTCCATGTTGTGCTCAGTATCTAAGTATTTTAACTATTTTAAATAATGATGTACAGATTAATTTATTTTGCCACATATTAATAAAATATTTTATTTTAAACAATTTAGGTGATGTGTTAACCGGTATTTGTTCATTAGCTGTTTGGAGTGATGACACCGCTGTAAGAGACATGGTACTGATTCCTCTGGTGGTGTACCTAGTTTTGGGCACTGCGTTTTGGATGGCAGGATTTGTTTCTCTATGTCGTATCAGAAAAGTAATGAAACATGATGGCACCCGAGGCACAGATAAACTAGAAAAATTGATGATACGTATCGGCGTGTTTAGCGTTCTTTACACTGTGCCCGCTGTAGCTCAAATCTTATGTTTGATGTATGAGCATGTAAACCTCGGTTCATGGATTATCAGTTGGCACTCTACACTTTGCAGAGATCCAAAATATGCATTACCATGCCCCTCTCAATTCAACGACATACCGAGGAAACCTAGCTTTGAGATTTTTATTGCTAAATATTTTGTATCATTACTAGTTGGTCTCACATCCAGCGTTTGGATATGGTCTGGTAAGACTTTAAATAGTTGGCAACAATTCTTGGCTCGTATACGTCCTAATTCAGGTAAATCTGAAGCTTATGTTTAATTATTAAATTTACAGTTAAGGTTATCAATGTAAATATATACCTACAGTGTTTAGTTTCAATTAGATTTCTCGCAAGCTAATATTTTTTATTATATTTTCATTATGTTCATTGGTATGTTTAAAAAATATTGACAATTGTTGAATATTGTTATATTATAATTTCCATATCCGACAAAAAAAAATTGGTTTGGCTTATAGGAAACTTGAAAATCTAATTTTGCATTGCCCTGACTCTTCATTTTGATATACAATAAATCAAATGTATTAAACATATATACTGTTTAGAGTACTTCAATGGAATTCTTGAATATTTATTATTTATAATATGTATTAGTTTCTATTTGAATTTTCATAATATTGAAAAAAAAAAAAAATACTATTTTAACATTACTATGCTAATTGCTACAAAGTATAAACTAAAATTAATTTTAATAATATCTATTTGATTATGACATTTGTGTACTCTGTACATTATACATACAATATATATCATATTATTTTTTTCTCAATTTATCTAGGTAATAAGATATTTCAATGCAAATTTATTTGATTATTTGTATTTTAATAAAGTTGGCAATATTAATTATATGGAAAACACAAATTATATTAATATTAAAGCACTAATTCAATTACCTTTCTATTCATACTGTAAATGCTCTAGTAATAAAAATTGTTTAAATTAGTGTTTCAGTAAGAACTTGTTTGGTTTTTAATGGCATTTTAATATTTTATGATTATGAAGTTGTGTTTTGTTTTATTAATTTCATAAATTATTTTAATTATAAATAATATAAAATCAATGATAGCATATATTATGTACCTGATTGGTGAATTTAAAAATAATTATGTAAACAAAATTAATTATACATTTCTTTCATTTTTGAATTTATTACTATAATATGGTTAGTAGATATACCTACCTAATCATTCCGTCCTAATTATTGCTTTTATTCTTAATTTTTTTTTTATTTTGTTTATCTTATAAGTTATGTTTCTTTATATTATTTTGTTAAGTACATGTATTAATGCAAAATCAATCTTAACAATATCACAAAACCAATTCCTTTTATTATTAATTTTGTTCTGTTCACTCCATATTAATTTAAAAACATAAATATAATCTCTATTGTACTATTAACTAAATCTCAAACGGTATCATGTTCTGAGTGAGAAAATATACTTTTAAAATAATGTGATGATCCTACTGGTTTTATCACTAGTCTTATAATAACTATTGATTTGACAATATTTTGAACAGGTTAAATGCTTTGTTGTTATGGCATTAATTTAAGGATTATTAAATGTTTTTCAAACCATTTTTTTCCCTTTAGCTTTTAACATATTTAAAAAAAATATATAAAATGTTATTTCCTTTTATTATTATTATTTTTAAATAATAATAACAATGTATAATAATAGTTTCTCATTGTAGGTTATCAAATTCAAATTCAAAATAATTTTATTAATGGTTTCTAGGTGCCTGTTTCTCTCTTTTCCTCTGCGTGTTTACTATTTAAAATTAATAAATTCACCCCATTTTCAAAAGTAGTCTCCATTTTTATATTTTTTGTTATATGTATATTGTAACATTTATGCACTAGTTATTAAACCGAATTGTTTATTTAGTGTTTTTGTTTATTAATACAAATTAATACTACATCACATTATCAGTTAACCTCTTTATTCCTCAAAATATTATGTTTAGCTTAAATAATGATTATTTTACAAAAACCTGTATTTTTTTATCACAACTAATGTATCAGTGTTAGTAATTTTTGTATTTATACCTAGGTACTTACGTAATATTATTTTTCCTATCAGTGTTGGTATGATTAAATCAGGGATTTATTTATTATTATTTTTTTAACAATTATTAATAACTTGGAGCAATTATTAAATAATTTAATTAATTTGTTATTAATTTTAATGATGTTTAACATCATTTTATCATGAATTTTAACAAGTGCAATAATAATAAATTAATGTACTCCTGGAGACAGATTTTTTTTTTTTACTTTTTTTAACAACCTGAAATATAAAATGAAAAAAAAAAAATTAAAACTTGTATTGTTACCAAAAATCTGCTCCAGGAACAAACTCTTGAATATATTTTGTTTAACATTAATGATTATCCAGTGTTAATAATATATATAAAAAATTAACCAATGAAAAAAATTGATTATTTTTTCTTTCTTTCACTAAGTTCATAAATATTTTCTTTGTTGTACTAACCACTGTTGTTATGTTAACATTAAACTCATAAAACATAATATTATTTAAATAAATATAAAGACCAAAAAAATGTATGGTTGAATTATAACATTTTGATGTTATTAATGAATTTAACATTATTTAAAACCTTGATATTTTTTATATTTTTTTGCAATATTATTTTTATATATTGTGTTAATGTTCATGTTTTAAGTAGATAACACATTATAGTATTTAGTAATTATTATTTTTATTAACCTTGCAATACTTTATGAACTGAAATCAAAAATAATATTTTTTTTGTCTAATAATTTTTATTTTTAAGTGTACATAATATTATAGAATATAGGTAAAATTAGTTTCTTATATTATTATAAATTTTAATACTTATGTAATATATTTGGTCGATAACACTAATGTTATTCAGCAATACCATTACTGTCTGTACCTATATATATATTTTTTAAATTAATAATATTCATTAATCAATCAATATTTTTATCATGATTATTTTTTGCAATTGTCGCAATAATAATAATATGATATTTTACTGTTGACTGCAATAATAATTAAATAAATACAAATTATACTAATATACTATTAATTCTTAATTTTATGTGCATACAATATTGTAATATGTTTAAGCAAATTTTTTTATATCAATAATTTACAAAACTGTGTTTATATATAAAATTTATTTTTAATTATTTGTATGCAAAATTGTTTGTAATAAATTTTCAGAAAATGAATGTTTTATTTTTGTTTTTTTTTTAACTCAATTTTGTTAATGTAAGAATTCTGTTCAGGTACCTATATACAATAATAACAAAGTTTATATATTGAATGAAACAGTGAATAATTATAAACTAAAACATTTTTCTTAATGAATTTCTGTTAACTACAGGTTAAGTTGGAGAAAAATTAAAGTAGTTTTTTCTGTGTAACTAGAAGAAAAAATTAAATCTAATTTGTTCTTCCTCCATATGAAAATATTTCAGTATTTAAAAATTCATATTCAATAATTCGGTCCTTTCTCTCCTTCCCCCCCACCCATTTTTCTAGGTTAGAATTTCAGATTTCTGTGCGTTTTGTTGTTATTTGTTTTTATTATTTAGAGTCTAGGTAAATCAAGGTAAGGTGTTTAAAGTTTCAGTACAAGAAAAACATGTTAAGAAACTGAAAGGAATTTTCACCACCTATTATATTGTAGCAATATTCTAGGCAAAACAATAAATAACTTAATACTATGATAAATAATAATTTATTATTATTTATATAATAAAATATTTTAATGATAATTTGTACTTTTTATGATTTAAACAAAGAAACAGTTGTTAATAAACAAAACGATTCTAAGCAAAATTTGATTTTACATGGTTTGAAACATCATAATTTTTAAAAAAATTTTCAACATTTGATATTAAAATACTTATAAAAAAAAAAAAAAAAACTACTATATTATACATAACTTTTTTTACCACTAGGTATTTTAAATTTATAATGAACCTTGCAATTATTAATTTTGCAAGCATTTCAGATCGGTCAAATAATTTTATCCACATTAAATTAAATAAAAACTAAAAAAAAAAAACAACTGTTGAAATATGAACTATAGCTTTAAATAATGTTGCAACTATGTAGAGTTGGAAATTGTAAAATCCTATTTAAGAGAAATTATAAAATTATATATTATATTATATTCAGGGTTTATTCCAATTTTTTTTTCTGGACTGCTGAATGGTGCAATTTAATTATACAGATATTGCAGTGATAGATCAAAAATTGAAACCATCTCAAAAGGCACATTCTTGACACATACAACATTTTGTCTCCTGGCTTCATTTGGAGGAGATGCACAAAATTAAAAAAATCCCCTCTAAATTCATATTGAAACTCAACTAACATGTCATTACTTCAATCCCCTGCTGGTAAAACAACTAATTCTCGAGTTTGAACTCAAAAGAGTTTTGGTCCAAAAGTAGCGGAAAAAGATATGTATAATAGGTACAATACAATGCAATATTCTTTGACGAAATTAAAAAAAAAAAAAATGAAAAATTACAAATTAAACGAATATAATCTTGAAATTTGAATGTTGATTTGTATGGAGAGTAAGTATAAATCATCAACACGTTATACCTACCTAAATACGTTTTATTTTCGATTTGTATTGTAATATTAAACTTTCTGTAGTGGAGGGGGCTAAGGGGTTGAAGTCTCCCCATTGGCCGTTTCTGTATATACATGTATATATATTTATGCAGCTTGGTGGAAGAAGGGCCAATGTCATTTTTTTTTAAAAATCAGTTAGAAATAAAAAAAGAATGTATAATTATTTATACACCTTGCACCAAGCCACAGATATATTACATATTATACGCACATATTTTTTATATTTTTTAAATTTCAACTGTAATAGTAATTAGTAAATTAGGACTTTTTTTTTTTTATAAAATACACTATTTTCGTAGGTAAATAATTTAATTTACCACCGCTATCTATTAATAACATTACTATATTATCACAGAATAAGATATATTTTGGTTTATAAGATTATTATTTTTGTCTAACTGAGGTGACACTCGTTATAAGCAATGGTTTTGTTCTTATTACAACTTTGGCGGTTGGTGTTATTGTGCATATGCGAACTGCCACACGCCCACGCAACCTTAGATAATGTCTATGATAGCAATATTTAACTTCCTGAACTGATGTTACCAACAATTAACGCATCGTTAAGTTAGCCCACGGATGTTGTAGATAATAATAATATAACCTTTAAGTAGTGAAAAACATTTACCATATGTAGATAATTTTGTTTTCACTTATTTCTCTTCTGTGTCAATGTAATAATATTTTGTATACTTGGATTTTTCGTCATTGTTTTGTATAAAACGTATCTCAAAGTTTTGCACATTAAAAAAACTTTAATTATTCATTATGGCAGAAAAAAGAAAAAATAGAAAATTGTTCGATTTTTTGTTTGAAGATAAAAAAAAGTTAACTTATGCAACCCACAATTCATACAATTCTAAGTTTTGTTGGTCTCTGACTTTTTTAATACTCTACCAGCTTAACAATTGTATTTTACTGCCCAACATTTTTATAGTTACCTAAATATTAAAGTTTTATATTTTTCAATTTTTTGTGCATATTCTATGTTTATTATCAGTCGGAACTAAAAATACTACTTTAGTTTTCAAACTTGTGACAAAACAATTGATTAATTATTGAACCATCGAAAAATCCTGCGTACGCCACTGACTTTCTGTGTTCCGTACCTGTTTAGTTACACGTAGAGGTAGAAAAACAAAAGTAGTGTGCGGATTTTTATTATGGTAGGTATTATTATTAATATTTAATGTTCCATTGTGCGCGATTATTATAATAATATAACGTTAATCCGGCGAACCTTATGAAGGGAGAAAAAAAATAGCCACCGATCTGGTTTGGTCACTCGTCAACGTCTGAATCTCAACTCTCGGGAGTAATAATAATAATAATAAACTGACGACGACTGTCAGCAAGTATGACAGAGGTTTCCCACTGGGCGAAGGCGCGTCGTCGAATCGTCATACAACGCGTTTATTTCAGTGTTTCGGTGAATTTCGGTTCCACGCATTATTATTATAATACACTATTCAAATTCGTGTCGAGGTACAAAACAAGATTACAGTCATAAATCTTGTAAAGCCGTGTGAACCATTATGGGTAATAGACACCATGTACACGAGTGCCCCGGGGCCCCCGAGCACCCGTTGAAATTATTGAGGCCTTACGAATTACAAATTACGTAAATAACTTTCAAAATCAAAATGTCTGTGAATCATTTAAAAACGACTCAAATGTTTTGAAAATGTTACCATTTCTAGAAAAGGCAAATATAAGTTTTCTATCCGAATATCAAGTCTACGAACATTTTTACTGAATTACAACAAAAAAACAAAATTGAAAATAATACTATTTTCGTTTGTTTTTCTTACGTTTTGTCTCGGAGTTTTCCAGATTTTATGAAAACCAATTGAAAAATCAACAAACGTCCTTTTTAAAGTACCATCTAGACAAAATTTTCTTTCAGAAATGTGGTTACACTTATACATTGAAGCAAGATTTCTGGTAGAATTTTTGTACACAGTATAAGATAGGGAGTGGGGTTTGGAGAACTTAGCAGGCACGTAAACAGGGGGTTGTTTTGGGCGTATAAATACCCCCTGAAATATTTAGTTTAACCTAACCTAACCCAATCTTTTATATGCTTATATAATAAAAAGTTCTTATTTTCAACTACTGATTTTAAAAAACACCATCCAAAACTTTTTTCAGCCCCCCAAAACTTTTTTCTGCGTACGTCCCTGGAACTTATCCATCTCAAGCCTACAATATTTTAATTAATTTAGTCTTTAACATTAGGTTTCAAACCTATCAGACTGAAGTCCTCTGTATTTTCAGACTTTATTACGTTTGTGTGATTATCATATTATTACGTCAATGTTTATAATACACTACTGTACTACTGTACTGTTATTAAACTACACAAGTATTAAAAACCCAGAAAATAATAAATATTTAAATATTAAATTTATCAACATAACATCGTTGTTATAAAATATTAAAAGTACAATTTCTATGTTAAATTGTTTACGCTATACATTTCAGATCAAAAAAAATGAAAAACTTTCATAGTACGTAGGTACCAACTAACTCATTATAACATATTTTGTGATTAAGTATGTTGTATCTTAATTTTTAAACTACGAGCAGTACTCGAATAAGAAATACAAAAGAAGGACTATAAGACTTAAAATAAATTAGCGTTCATTAAAATTATTGAACTCAACTTAATTCGTGGGGGGCTTTGCTCTCATACCAATATTTAATAATAATTCAGTAATTACTAATTTCTAAAATAACTCTAATGAAGGAAATTGCATGCCTGAATAATAGTTAAGTAATATTTATTTAAAATTCGACTAGTATTAGTAACTACTACTATGATTCGATTATGATATATGCTTCTGTTATTTTTTCTGTATACGAACAACTTTTCTACTAGAAACCATGCTCTGATCATCAACTTTTGAGGTGCTGGTTTCTATTAAAAAATTGTCTGTTTAGTGAATGAGGAGGTTAGGTAAACTGTTAATTGTTACGTTTGTACAATAATCGTTTCGGTTATATTATATTTTGTTCATTTAGTGCAAAATAACCACAGGGACCGGAAACTGTATTGAATATTATATACCGGTGATCTATTTAAGTGTTGTATGATTTTTTCTACTATCGGGTGTTCCATAAGTGAGTACTCTCATTATCACCGAAGGTATTAACTTTGTCCGGAATTCGTTTTCTAGAACATTTAAGAAACAAGCTCCCCTACAACTTTACATACATGTTTTATTTGGCCATTCTTATTTTTGGGGTAAAATTACTTACTTTTGATTTTCAAATGACAACTTGTATTCAAAATTATTAACATGCGTGCATTATTAACACGCAGCGCGCCGTACCGCTATACAAATGATACTCCACCACACTCCTCCAACCCAAGCTTAAAAGTGGAAAATTTCGTTAACGGATTGACGGAAATCAACAATTTCAATACTAATATTTTTTTCAACTAATACTCCATCTATTTATGGACTTTTGAATATAGATTGCCGTTTGAAAACTAAAAGTAGGTAGTAGTTTTACCACCCAGTATTAGATTTTTTTTA